TGCTACTGCTACCGCTACTGCTACGCGCGGCTATGTGCGCTGCAATGACGACCATGACTACTGTAGTCGCGAAAGCTCCCTCCCGCAACTGGAGGAGGCATCCATGTAGTACTCCGCTTTGCTGAAGCGGGGGAACCCGGGAAACCCCAACTTGGTGACAGAATGCCAAACTCCTTGGATACTGCGGCTGTTGGCAGTGCTACGGCTACTGCCACCACTGCTGCTGCTGCTGTTGCAAATGCTATTGCTAGTGCTATTTCCACTGCTATTGCAACTGCTAGTCATGCCACTGCTGCTGCTACGTGCTGCTGCTGCTGCTACTACTACTACTACAACAACAACAACAACTTCTACTACTACTTCTTCTACTACTACTGCTACCACTACCACTACCACTACCACTACCACTACCACTACCACTACCACTACCACTACCACTAGCACTAGCACTAGCACTAGCACTAGCACTACCACTAGCACTANNCTGCTACTACTTCGACGACGACGACTACTACTACTACTACTACTACTACTACTACTACTAGCCGTTCCCCTACCAACTACACTGCGGCATCATCATCAACATCATCATCAACATCTTCCAAAAATTATCATCAACGTCATCCAGCATCATCCTGCCATCAACAGCATCCTGAAATCATCATCAACATCATCCAAATATCCTCTTTATATACAGTACTTTCGTGATATCAGACCAACTTATCTAGTCACCAATCCTACTTCTGGACTTTGCGAGGTGGACCTGGGAGTTTCGGAGGGATTTCGGCGAAGACGGATTTGTTTGGAGGAAGTGTTGGGGGTGTGTGTGCGCGAAACAGTGTCGTGATCATCCCCGAAGAAGCCTCCCCCCTTTCGAGTTTTTGTCGAAAGCCCTCCGACATCCCAAGGTCGAGTTCGCAAAGTCCAGAAGTAGGTTTGGTGACGATATAAGATGGTCCGACATCACGGAAGTACCGTAAATACCGAGAAAAACGGCTCTTCCGAGATATTGTTGTGGGTGTTTGCGTAACATTATCGTCATCATCCCCCGCGCCCACCCCCCATCATCCCCCATCAAAAAAACAGCAAGTCCACAATCCGGAGTTCGAGTTTGCAAACTCGACAGGTCGTTTTTGAGGCTTCATAAGATGATCCTACATGACGAAAGTGCCGTAAATACCGAGTACAATGGATGTTGACTTAACGTGGGTAAGAGCAAGTGTAGTTGGTAGGGGGGTGCCTACTGCTACCACTATTATTATTACAGCTACAACTGCTACTACTACTACTACGAC